ACCCGGCGGGATGCAAATTCTCCTGTAAATCAAGAAATCAAGACATTATTTTGACAGCCAAACTATTTTTGCTGGATTCAGGTTATTTTTAACTGGCTGCTGTCACAGCTCAGCCTATTCATAAATCTAAAGAAATGTCAGGAACCTGTCACCAGTGCCTACCATAATATGTATCCCAAAATGTCTTCTAATTTTAATTTAAAACATCCATAACAAAGTCCTAAATGAGACAGTCATCCAGTTTTGCATCCCTTAAATAAATAAATATGCCTGGGCTCACTAATAAGATAATTCCAAATGGATATTTATACCCCGCCTTTCCCTTGTGATCCAAGGCAGCTTACAATTCCAAAATTAAAACATACAAAATACAATAAAAGCCAATTAAATCTCCTCTCCAAGAAAGTGCTTGCAGCTTAAATCCCATTAAAAGTCCTTGCAAATAAAACAGCTGTACAGCTATTCCTAAAACCTTCTAATTGCAGGGATTCCCCTCACCTCCTCAAGGAACTCATTCAACAAGATATGAGTCACTTTTGAAAGGAAATGGGCTGGCCTTTGACAGTAATGAGGCTGCCATATTCTGAACAAAAACAGGTTGCTTACCTGTAACTGGTGATCTTCGAGTGGTCATCTGTGCAGTCACACCCATGGGATTATGCGCCTGTGCTGATCTGAATCAGTGGTATGCAAAGCTCACAAAGGGATTTTCGCGCCTCCCTCCCAGGCATGTGCGGGAACCCCACTGTGTATATCCAAGGAGGCGGGGCGCGGACATCCCACAAGTTCCTTCTGACCACTGTCATGTCAATACTCAGAGAGAAGTACTGAAGCAACAGCAGTGGGGAAGGACGGGTGGGTGGTGTGAGTGCACAGATGACCACTTGGAGATCACCAGTTACAGGTAAGCAACCTGTTTATCTTCTTCGTGATCACTGTGCATCACACCCATGGGAGATTGAAAAGCAGTAGCTCACCTGGGGGTGGGAGCTGTCGCAAATTCAATGCTCTGCCGACAAAAGAACTAGACGACCAAGGTCCACTCTGTGGTGTTCACGAACATCAACAGCGTAGTGCTTGATGAAAGTGTTCGTAGACCATGTCGCAGCCCCACAAATCGCCGACAGGGAAGCACCTTCGAGAAGGCTGTAGATGTAGCCATGGATCTTGTGGAATGCGCTCGCACAGGCAAGGGCAACGGGCGCTTGACCAACTGGTAGCACAGTTTAATAGTCTCAACAATCCATTTGGAGAGACGTTGTGCTGAGATCTTTAGCCCTGTGGAGTGACTGGAGTAAGAGACAAATAAGTGATTGTCCCTCCTACTCGAGCATGTCCTGTAAAGGTAAAAAAGCAGCGCTCTCTTGACATTTAGTGCATGGAGGAGACATTGCTGTTCATCTTTCGGGTTAGGAAAGAAGTTTGGTAAGAAGACAGAGCTGAGGTGGAACTCAGAGATCACTTTTGGAAGGAAAGAGAAGTCCGGTACTAGTCTCACACCATTCAGTAGGAAAACAAGGAAGGATGGGTCATGATGAAGGGCCACGAGTTCGCCCACCCTCCTGGCTGAGGTCATGGTGACGAGAAAGGCAGTTTTCCATGCTGCATGTTTTAGCTCGCAAGTTGCCATAAGCTCAAAGGGCTGTCCTATCAGATGGCACAGCACCAGCGGCAAGTCCCACAAGGGTACCAGTGAACGGATCGGTAGATACACATGGAGGAGACCTTTAAGAAGTCTCTTTGAGACCGGGTGAGAAAAGACGGAAAAACCTTCGAAGCCCGGATGGTAGGCAGAAATGGCTGACAAATACACCCTGATTGAGGAGTGCGAGAGGCCCTTCTCTGCCAGCGAAAGCAGAAATTCTAAGATCTGGTCAAGCGTGACAGAAGCCGTGGGTATGTCCGAGGGCTGTAAGGAGGCCAAGAAACGAGACCACTTCCCACTGTAGGAATGTCACGTAGAATCTTTCCTGGCATTGAGTAGCACAGTGGTGATTCTATCCAAGAATGTTAAGTGTTCACGAGATAGGATGAGCTTGTGGACCTCATGGAACAGCAGAGCTCCTCCCTCCGCAAGGAGCAAATCCAGCACTCGTGGGAGAGGATGGTGAGCCTTGGCCAGTGAGAGAAGGTTGGCGAACCAAGGTTGCCTCGGCCACCAGGGGGCGATCAGGATGCATCTTGTGCGTACCCTCATGAGCCTTTCAACCATCCTCAGCAGCAGCGGCAGAGGGGGGAACATGTATAGGAAGCCATTGTCCCACGGGTAAAGGAGCCCATCCCCCAAGGCCTTGGGATCTTGCGCTCCTTTCTATCTAAAACAGGTTGCACTTCGAATTGCACCTGGTGGCGAAGAAGTCGATGTGAGGCATACCCCATTTTTGAAACACGGGACGTAGGTAGGTCCAGTTCAGCTCCCAGTCGTGATGCTGAGAGAGACCCAAGCTGAGCAGGTCCGCATGCACATTGGCCTTGCCAGCGATGTGAGAGGCAATGCAAAAAATGTGCAGAGGTATGCACCAGGCCCAAAGATCTAGAGCCAGGAGGCAGAGACTGCAGGAGACCGTTCCATCCTGTCTGTTGATGTAAGAGAGGGCCGTTATATTGTCAGTCAACACAGACACGCATTTCCCCGTAGGAAGGGGCTGGAAACATTGGATGGCCAGTCTGATTGCCAAAAGTTCCAGAAAATTTATGAGTTTTCTCGAGGCCAAGGCATCCCAATTGTGACCTACAGAGAGGCCGTTGAGGTAAGCTCCCCAGCCCCACAGCGAGGCGTTGGTTGTGAGGGTGAGACCAGGAGTGAGGGGATAGAAAGGGACACCTTCCGTCAGGTTGTCTGACTGTGTCCACCAGGGGAGGGGGTCGCGTGCCTCCTGTGGCAGAGAGAGACGAACCGATTGGGACATCCGTAGGGTCTTGAAGTGCCGTATGAACCAAAGCTGGGGTGGACGCATTTGCAGCCTTGCAAAGCAAAGGACAGCAGTTGTAGCTGCCATCAGGCCCAGAAGGTGTTGAATCTGGAAAGCAGACACTGTGTCCTGGAGTCGAACTTGTTCTGCAAGAGTGGTCAGGGTTTGGGCCCTGTCCTGCCTTCTCTGGAGTCGAGTATCGCCCCTATGAACTGCACTCTGAGAAGGAACGAGCTATGACTTTTTATGGTTGACCTGGAGACAGAGGCAACGAAGAACATTGAGGCCTGGGATATATGTTGCACCAGAAGGTCCCTGGAAGGTGTGACCAGAAGCTAGTCGTCTAGATACAAGAACACTATCAGGCCACAGAGGCGGAGATGTGCCACAACGACCACTATCGTCTTTGTGAAGACCCATGGGGCCGTGCTGAGGCCAAACAGTGGACTCCTGTATTGGTAGTGGTTGCCTCCTATTGCAAACCAGAGGCAAGGGTCTTTTGGGGCAGGAGCGCGCTGGAGCGCCGGCGTTCTGGGGCCTGCGCTGAAGCGCTGCGGCCCCAGGGAGGCACAAGGAGGCTCGTTGCTGCTTTTCCAGGGCCCGCGCCAGAGCGCTGCGGCCCAGAGGAGGCCAGGAGAGCCCCCCCCACCTCCCTGGGCCAGTGCTGGAGCGATGCAGCCCAGAGGAGGCCGGGAGAGCCCCTGCCGCCGCTTCCCTGGGCCAGCGTCGGAGCGCTGCGGCCCAGAGGAAGTCAGAAGAGGCCCCTCGGCCACCTCCAGGGGTTAGTGAGGGATCCGTGGAGGGTGGCAGAGGCTTGAGTGGGGGTGGGTGGGAGAGCCTCCCCCCTCCCCCCATCTCTTTGCCCTCTTTCTTTCCCTTCTTTCCTTCCCCTTTTCTTTTCTTTCTCTCCTTTTCTTTCTCTCTTTCGTTCCTTCTCTCTACTCTTTCTCTCTCTCTTTCCTTCCTTCTTTCCTCCTTCTGCAGCTCAACTCTAGTGAGAAGGGGTTTAAACTTTAAACCCCTTCTTTCTCCCCCCCCCGGCTGGCTAGGGAAGGGTAGGCTTTTGAAGATGCCTTCCCCCCCCCTTGCTTCCCCTTCTGACATCACTTCCGGTGATGTCAGGGGGTCTTGCATATGCTAATGAGCTATTATGTTAATAGCCTAGTAGCTCATTAGCATACCATATGCTAATGAGCTCCTGCAGCTCTTTTTCTACGAAAAGACCCCTGATCAGAGGTATTTTTGATGGGAGGGGTGGATAGTTAAATGGAAATAGGCATCCTCGAGGTTGAAGGTGGCCATCCAGCAACCTCGGGACAGGAGATGCAAAATTACTGGTAGGGATGTCATTTTGAATTTCCGGTACTGTATATAGGATCGGAAGAGTTAGGCGGAAGTCAAAGGCCCTGCTTGCTGGGTTTAGGTTGTTTAGCTCTGACAAGTTTCTGTCCAGAGCCGTATCTTTGCCTGGTCAGGTACTGCTGCCTGTTCGCAGATGGAGACCGATGTGGTCTGTAGCCTTCGTCCGGTGACGGTTTAGCGTATTGACACCTGGTGCCATAACGAGACCAAGAGAGAGGCCGAAAAGACTTAGAGGGGGCAGAAACCCCCAGCAACCTCGAGGCCTTAATGCTCTTATCCATGTCCTGGAGTGTCGAATCAGTGGACGCATGAAAGAGACCTTGGCCATCGAATGGTATGTTCTCTATTTACGCCCTGGTGTCAGCAGGGAGCGAGGTGGTTATAAGCCAGGAATGCCTCCGGAGGGCAACTGTGGAAGACATTGTTTTGGAAAACTTGTCCAAAGCATGTTTGGAAGAATTGATGATTTGTTTAGAAAGCAGCAAGCCTTCCTTTTGCAGCTTCCTGGCTTCCTGACATTTGTCCTCAGACACCGAGGTCAAAAGGTCGGTAAAGCGCTCTCAGAGCGAGTACTGGTAACGGCCCATACAAGCAATATAATTAGATGTCTTAATTCCGAGAGCTCCAGCTGAGTAGAAACGATGGCCAATGGAATCTAACTTCTTGCTCTCCTTATCAGAGGGAGTAGCAAGGGTACGTTTACTCTTTGAGGCAGATGACACGACCATGGAGTTGGGTTTAGGGTGGATATGGAGGAATTCAGCCTCCGTCTCTTGGGCCCGATACATATGATCCAGACGTCTGGAAGACACTGGAGCAGAAGATGGCTTATCCCATGGAGCCTCGCCACCTGAAGGATGGTTGACATTGGGAGGGCGATCGACATGTAGGTATTGATCTGTACGACGTCAAAGACAGCGTCCGACACCAAAGGTTGGGGTTGGACTATCAACAGTCCCAGGGAGTGTGCCATTCTCTTGACCAAATCTCTGTACGAAGAAAGATCCTCCAAAGGAGAGATCGGTAGATTGTCTGACACTGTAGGCTTTGGTGAAGGATCCTCAGGTGACTCAGGGCGTTCCGAATCATCGGTGCCGGAATCATAGACGGAGGATCTGGAAGGTGATACTGGTGCCGCAGGGGTATCCGGTATCGGATCAACCTTCGGTGGTAAGGTAGGGGCAGTACGGAGAGGAGAGGGCAGGTGATGAGGTTCTTCTGGAGCTTTGGAGAGAGATGCAGAAGGCTTAGGTTTACGTTGGGGAGAGCATGAACGATGTGACCCACGGTCCCAGTCCGACTGTGGCCTAGACGTCAACCATGGCATCGATGCCAACATCGGATACAAGGTGAACCAATAAGGCATGTGCTGCCGACGGTCCCACGGTACAGGTGGGTCGAAGTAGGTCGGGGAATGCGGTCTCAATTCCCATCTGGGTGAGTATGAGAGCATGGGTCTGGAATGACGGTACTCAGGACACTCCTCAGATCAATATCGATGTCCCTCGCATCTGGGGGACCTGGATCGATGATATCAAGAGTCCAGTCGAGATCAATCGCTTGCCCAAGAAACAGCCGAAGGAGAGCGATCTGAGATCTATGTGGGACAACCTCCTCAACTTCCCACAGTGAGGCCGAGATTGATCCGGTGTCAACGGAGACCTCCGATACCGGGGGGTTCAGTTGCCGAATGGGTGAGTCCAATACCTCAATCGTAGGCAGCTCCGGCACGGAAGAGTTCTTGATGTCAGGTTGCGACCACTGAAGAGGGGTCAATGCAGAGCCCTTTTGCACTTTCTCACCGCTCAGACTCTAAGACTTACGCACAGTGCCAGTAAGAGAAGACTTAGCTTTCTCGTGCTTCTCCTTCTCCTTCTTTTTGGCCAGCATAGAGGCGGAAGAGGCCTCGTTCGACACCGAACGCTTAGAAGATGGTCCCCCGTTCGATGCCGACTTTGCACGGTGAAGGGGGTTCGATGCCTGTGTACCTCCCGATGTCGACAGGAGTATTGTCTCAGCAGACATCTCTCCGGCAGGCAAGGGCGTCAGTGCGGACTCCCAAAGTGTCACTCAAAGCCTCACAGCTCTGTTTTTGCGGGTCTGATTCGAGAACTTCGAGCAACGGCGGCAAGCGTCTGGGCGATGAGTTTCTCCCAGGCAGAGAATGCAGAGGGGGCGTGTTGGGCGGGGGGGGGGGGGGGGGCAAGTTTGCTGCCACAGCCAACACACAATTTAAGACATGCCCACTTTTCGGCCATAAACGAATAAAATGGCACCAAAAGAAAAAGAGGGCTCTCAGATGAGGTGAAGTACATTTTACCTCAGAGTGAGAGAAGGGGGGTGGGGGGAAAGGCAAAGAGTCACCTGAGGAGCGGCAACCCTCAGAAAAAGTTTTTTGTTTTTGGTTAAGTAAGGAATAAAAGAAACGTAGCAAAAGGAAAAAAACTATTTGAGCAATCCCTTGTGGGAGGAAAAGTAACGCTTCTTCACCGACCGGCAGAAAACAAGCTGTTAACAGTGTGGCAGTCAGAAGAGAACTGGCGGGATGTCTGTGCCCTGCCTCCTTGGGGGGGTTCCCGCACGTGCCTGGGAGGGAGGCATGAAAATCCCTTTGTGAGCTTTGCATACCACCAATTTGGATCAGTGCAGGTGCGGTTTCTAGGTTGTCTTCAAAGGCAGTCCAACAGAGCATGTTACATAATTTCCAAGGCTACAGGGTTCTCCCATTCTCTGCTGCCTTCTCACCATTTCTTTTGTAAGAAAAAAAAATCTCTCAGCCTTTTCCACTCCATATCCCTCACTAGCATCATCCACACTTCAGGCAGACAAATTCAGAAGGAAGGGAAAAGCAAGGAAGCCCCTCTGCCACACTACTATTGCTAATGAAATGAAGGGTTGTAAAAAAAGAACTCTCCTTTGCCCCAGTTGGGACAGACAAACAAAACTATCCTCCAGCACATTTTCACATTCACTACTTAAACCTGCTACTGTGCTGCTCAAAGATAGTGTCCCACTGAGCAATCCTGATTATTAAAATTTATTTTATTCATTTATAGCCCAGCTTTCTCCCCAGTGGGGACCTAAAGCAACTTACATTCTCCTTCTCTCCTCCATTTTATCCTCACAACAACCCTGTGAAGTAGGTTGGGCTGAGAGAGTGTGATTGGCCCAAGGTCACCCAGCAAGCTTCCATGGCACAAGAGAGGATTTGAACCTGGGGTTTTCTAGATACTAGGCCAACACTTTTAACCACTACACCACACTGGTTCTCAGTTTTTGTATATTTGTACAATAAGAGCGAAAGCCCTTGTAGATTGTATGGAAGCTCCTAAGTCTCATATATGAATGAGAGTTCTTGCATATCTGGCAATAATGCACTTATGCAAAGAAAGATGCCTTATGCCAAATCAATATTCACTATATTCCCATGAAAGGCAGTTGTGTTGGTCCAATATAACAGAATTCTCAGTCAAATGACTCTTATTAGGAACAAACCAGTGTGAAATGAGGAAGTTCGATTTGTTAGTGTTCTTATTATAACAAAACAAACAACATTCATTAATATTTGTTATTCTGGCACCTGGCTGCCTAATTTAGATTGTTAAAGCAGAATTCAGATTTGGCCGAGCAGAGGCATTCAAACGGATCTTGCAACAGAAGATTTTTTCCAAAAAGGTATTTCTTTCCACAGTGTTTCCACAAATCATTAGTGAGGAAGGGAGGGCTTTCTTGATTCTACATAAGCGGCATTCATTCCCCTCAATTCTTTGCCTGACAGAATTCTGATCTCTTTGAAATTGAGTGTTTTAGATTCTTTCAAGTACTTTGGTATTAGCATTACTACTGTGTGAGACAGTGTTTGATCTAGTATTTTGATCAACGTTTTGAGAAAATGTTGCTATTTAGCTGGTATATGAGTTTTACCAATTTGCTTTAATGTTAGTTGTAGTGTCAGTCTGTTAATCTAGTTGTAGTGTCAGTCTATGTTAGAGCCACTAACTTGTGTGTTACTGAGGTTATTTGTAGTACACAAAACTACTGAGTTCTTGTATGTCTGTCTGCAGTGTATGCACATTTAGTGATTTCACCAAACATCATTCTTCCAGAGTTTTCTTCCAGAGTTTGTGTCTGCAGCCTGAATTTAAAATGACACTGGAACAAAATTCTCTTTCAGACTGAGATGCCTAATGGTATAATTCAGTCACTCCACACGGGCTTTGGGATAGATACCGTTCTCAGTTGAGCTCAACTGACTGCAACATCCTTAGTAGGAATGAATTTAGCCCATGTAATTAGAGCAAAAGCAAATCAGTAAAATTATGACTTGCAAAGAACTATAAGCTACATCACCTCATTAGCCATGGTGATAGCCCTGATAGCTTTGTCTTGATACTCTTTATAGTCCCACTCCAAATAGACAGTAGCTAGTAACCGCAGCACTCTGGCCTACAAATTAAAAGAAATTAATATTTAAATGTAAAGGGCTCATGTGAATGGACCAAATTTCTAACTCTGAAGGGAAAGGGAATCCTTGGTGAAATTATAAAGTATTTACAACACTTCCTTCCCTACCAGCATTTCTTGTCCAGGTGAATATGTTTTATCCATCTTCCCAATTTCATAGCTCTGGCTGTGAAAGAGGGAAAACCAGCAGAAGATTGGCTAATTATTCATGGGCAGAGGACAAGAGCCAATTAAGCAAGGCAGCCTAGCTAGTCTAAGACTATATTCACAAAGGATACTCTGCTGCATAACAATAACTATATCAGGAGTTCCTTCACAGTATTAAATTTGTCATAGCACATAGCATCCCATAACAAACAAATTATGTCATGGATAAGCCGTGTCAAGCCTGTGAAGAGAATGAGGTTTAATTTAAAAATCACTCAGAGAAGCACTGAGCACTCATTCTCTCCTCCCTGGCCATGGTTGTATGGGCCTCACTCTGCCATTTGCATCATTCCAGAAGCATCCCCCCCAGTCCCCACTTGAAATGGCAATCTAGGGCACATCATTTCATGTGTAAGCACCCACATTTTTCAAGAAAACTTGAAATTGGCTTTCTTTCCCAGCCTGCCTTTTTGTCAGGCAAAATGGAGCTTCTATTAACAGATTTGCTTCCAGGTAAGCAACAATGGCTGCTGCTTAAACTCTAGCATTCAGCACAGGAAAAAATTGCAATAAGGTGGATAGTCTGCCCCTCCTTGTCCCAGAAAGAAATATAGAATCATAGAATCATAGAGTTGGAAGGGACCTCCAGGGTAATCTAGTCCAAGCCCCTTGCAAACATCACTGCCATTTTAAAGTGATTAAAAATGTCATGGTTGCCTGGGGGAGGGGGCATTAAATATTTCCTATTGTTGCTTCTTAGCAACCCACATCCCTGTAGCTGCTCCCTCCCTCCGAATGCACACCCTAACTATACTAGTCCTTGTACAGCCAGTGGAAACTTTAAGCCACTAGATGGTGCTAATTCACTCAATTCAGACAAGTGCATGTTTTGATCTCAAATAGCCTCTCATATATATCTGACAGGACTGTGCATTTTCTCTACAAGGGGCCATGAAAAGTATCCATCAATTATGCTGTTTTCTCTATGACATTACCTGAGCCAAAACGAACTCTGTTCATATCCCTTCAATTCGTAAGTTTCCACTCCAAAGTTATAGCACAGGAGGGACAGGTAACAGCTCTAAGATAAAAAATAAGTAGTTTCCATTTTGCTATATTAAAAACATTAGAAATGGTACAGAAAGGTAGCAGGTTCCATAATTTTACTGCAGTGGAACAGTGCAAAGTGCACTTCAGTTCCCCATTAACAGGACAATCTCTCAGTCAATAACCTCTTTGGGCAGCCTCATCAGAATGTCCTTGCAGCGCTGCACACATGTGACTGCTTTCTGAAAATCTCCTTCAGCCACTGCCTGAGAAAGCAATAGAACACACCAGTGAGCTCCTAGGACACTTTTAAATTAAAATTTATAAATTCTAGCAAACTAGATTTGTATTAGAAACAAGTTCAAAAAATGAGAGCCTTTTTCATATGGCAACATTTTCCTATGGAAGCCCCAGGTGTTAATGATGCAGCATAGTGCAGGGCTTCCAGATGGCAGCTTTCACCATATTTTCCCAGTCCCAGAACCCATGCCAGTCATTCCCCTCCCACACTACAAGGGAGGCTTTCCCCCAAGGTTTTCTTTTTAAACCAGTAACTGACATACTGATATACCAATACATTGATGTGGCAATTGTTGATCAAATAAAACCGTCAAAGCCCCTTGGTGGCATGGGACTGCCATGGTGACTGGGACAGAGGAAACTGTTAATTTTTTAATTTACAAAATTTGTATGTCCTGGACGGGCTGTTGTGAGGGTAGGACTGGGGAAATCCAGACTTTCCTACTGACACAGCCACCAGCCCAGCTTTGCTTCAGTCTTTCCTAAAACATTGCAGCAAAGCAGATTTGGGAAAGATCACAGAAAAGTTAAGGAAAATGTGTGTGGTGCACGGAAGCACTGTCATACTGTGTGAAGGGGAAAGCAGGAGGAAAAACCCACTTTCTAACAGCATTGAACTGGGGCAAATTACACATTTGGAAACAGCTGAGGCTGGGAAACAAGTCAATGAATGAAAAATATTGGAAGGTCATGAACTAGGAACAACATAATCAGAACAACAGAAAGATTAACTGTGTGTAACCAGGGTCGTAGCCAGGATTTTTTTACTTCAGGGGGCATTTAAATAAGTCGGGGGGCACTGTGTCAGGAGCGATGAGAGAGTAAAAGTTTTTAAAAGTGATGAGAGAAGGTTGGAGTGGGGAACAGACGTGCCCTGTGGCGTGTCTTGCTCGCAGCCAGCCAGAGGTACACTGCTGGCAGACAAGTCAGGGTGACGACTCAGCTTGGTGCGGCTGTGGCGCACATGGAAAATAAAATAAACCGGCTGGATGGGAAGTCAGGAGGCCTGAGCAGTAAGTCAGGGGCCTGGCTCTGAGATGCCCCACTGTAGCTAGGGGCCTGTGTGTGACCCCTAGCTAGGAATGGAATAAGCTAGAAAGGGGTGGACCCTCTAGATGCAGAAGGGTGCAGACTGTGGAAAGCAGAGGAGGGGAAGCAAGACTGCCCTGCTGGGGAGCTTGAATTTATAGGCTCTTAACATCTTGTTTAAGGTAACTATGATTTATGGATGGACACTAGGAAGGGAGAGAGACTTTTGTTCTAAAGTGTAAATTTTAGAATCATTGTTTCAGGGCTGTGTTATCTAATGGGGAGTTCATTTGGAACTTCAACTTGGAAGCCGGTGCACAGAGTGTTCAGCTGGAGACTTCTTGGGCCACCAACAAGAGGAAAGAGATGGACTTTGGGGGTGACAAGCTGTGAAGGAGGGAAAAGTTAATTGTTTGGACTTTAAAAGTTCACTGTTCTATTGTGTTACTAAGATCTATATTTTCGTTACATTATGTTGAGTGAAAAGTAAAAACGTTTTATTTCTTTTAAATTATTGCAAGATTGATTCCAAGTTCTGCCCCACAGAACCCACAAGCTGAGGTTACATGGGCACCTATATTATTATAATATTACTACAGCTGTATTTTCCCACCAACATACAGATTCAGCCTGATAAGAGAGAACTCTGAATACATCTTTTTCGACATCAGCTTTGTGTATATGAGTATCTGCTTCACTGGTGCTTCTTTTGGTTAGCTGAGCGTACAACTTCTCCAGACTCTACAAAACAAAACATATCATAGTCTAACAAACAGCAACATCGCTCACATTATTTACTGCAATACATACTTTCACAAGACTTCACAAACTTACATTCATGGCAATCTCAAGAAATTCATTAGCAAGGGTAAGGTTTCCTACATCTACCCACCCCTTTCCGGTCTTCATGGCCATCTAGAACATAAAAGAAATATGTGGGATTATAAATAACATGGACACTGACTGTTGTGTAATCCTACTAAACTAGTAATAATGATAATTATCATATGGCAGTGTGTTTAGTATAGCCAGGAGATCCTAAGATTGTCTAGCAGGCAGAAGTTCTTGCTCTTTTAGCATTATGCATCACTAGGTGGTGAGCTAGACTTTTGGGGTTTTTAAGGCAAGAGACATTTCAGATGTGGTTTGTCATTGTCTGCCTCTGCATCATGCCCCTGGTATTCCTTGGAGGTCACCCTTGCAAATACTAGCCAGGGCCAACCCTGCTTAGCTTCTGACGAGATCAGGCTAGCCTGGACTATCCAGGTCAGGTACTAAAGTAGTAAATATAAGCAACAGAATAACAAAATCAGTGGGTCTTTACAACAACTAGTCTGACTCATAATCTAAATATCTCAATGGAAACATCTTTCATATAACCTGACAAATTATTCTAGATTGGGGTCCCCAATGTGTTACCATAGGCAATAAGGCACCTGCCAGCACTTTTCCTGGAGCCTGCCAAGTGTGTTTAGAAAGTGGGTGGGGCCAGGTAAGGCTTTTGCGCCCCCCCCTTCTGTTTGGCTACTCGAGTTCTGCATCAAAACACAAGTATCTTTCACACACGACTAAACTTAAGGTGTGTGTATGCAAAAACCATAGAGTTTCTGCTGAATCCTAGAATGATATGATATCACTTCCAGGTTTACCTAGAATTTTTGCATTACCCCACCACCACCACCACCAATGCATACTGAGTGACAGTGGGAGTTGAGAGCTACCAGCCACAATAGCTAGAGACCTGGAAACCCTATGTGGCAGCCATTTTGTAGTTGTGCTTGTATCAGAATTCGAAAGGTGACTGCAAGCTCAAAAAGGTTGGGGATCCCTGTTCTAGATGTTTAGTATTACTACTATTAAACCTTGGCACCTGTTTATAGCTGAATTTGTCTAGGCAACTGGGTAAGTTGTTTTTCCCCTGCCAGTTAAAAAGACTAGACACTTGAAATCTTTTTCTTTGTGCAGAACAAAATCAAGCCCTGTTTTAACCTGCTCCTCAATATATGGCATAAACTGAAATCTAACACTGAAAAAAGGAAAATCATTACTGTAACTTTAGAACTACTTTTTAGGATTTTTGAAAGCAGAACCCAACTACAAAAAGAATGTACACACGATTGGGTATCAATTACCAAAATTTGCCTCCGCACCATCTCCTCAGGTGGATCGCTTACTTCACAAAACATCATCAGTTTGCAGGCAATATGGCGCACTATAAGACAATGTAGATAAATGTTGTCCACTTGCCTGTAACTCCAAGTGGAGGTTATGAGAACAAGCATCTGTGTAGCAGTATAAACATACAGTATTCACTGTCTTAAAGATGTCAAGCACACTGAACAAGAAGGATATCAACACACTCACCTACATCTGGCATATGCTGCTGCCATGAAACAAGATACTTTGATGTTCATGTTCTTCTCTAGCATCCTCCCAAGTAAAAATGCATTGGATCAAGAGGCTACCTTGGAACCCTAACTTTTGTAAGATTTTGCCTTTTCTATCCAGTACTGACATTACAAGAGAATTATTGTTTATACCTTTTCTCTTTATAGAAAAACACTGCAAGGCAACATGACTTCAGAGAGCTTTTCGTTAAATTTGCTCTAGAGAAAAGTGAAATGTTGGACAGTTTCTGTTGGTAGGAATGATGAATGATACTATAGAGGGTTTTTGTAATTTTTACATGTGTCGTTTTATATGTATATTTTGAAAGCTGCATTGGATCCCTCCTTTTCAGGAGGAAAGGGTATTAAGTATTTTAAATAAAATACAAACAAATACACTGCAAATAACAAGTCCTGATTACAAAGTAGGATATCATACTTGCTCACTTGCAGAGAGATGTGCACATGTATGAAGACTTACACAAATGCCAAACCAAAAACATTTTGCTTTTTTGCTATGTAAGATCCTGATTTATGTCAGAGAATCCAAACATACACTTAATTCTTTGCAGATCACTGATAGTGGGGCCCATTTTCCTCATCACAGTCCAGTTCCATAAGTTGACAGCACTTTCTTCAATCTACCAAAAAAGAAAAATAGAGACATTTCTAAAAAAACACATGACATTTTTAATAGGAAAAGCATATCAGTAACAGGAACTGAAGAAGTATGTTTATTTAACTTCGACATCAGGTAGTTTTTTAAAAGGGAAGAGGGGAAATGGGATCTTGGTAAACATCCCATTTTTGTAGCCTCATTAGGATATCCACATAAAGTTTTGGAATGACGATTTGAGAGAAGAATAACAAATAGAATAGACTGTATGACTTCACTGTCATTTTGGATTACTGTTGCTGTCATGCATTAACATATGCAGCTGCATCATGTCAGCTCCTAATGTTATATTATTCTAGCCTCAAGTATATTTACTTTACTTTACTTTACATTTACAATTCGATTTATATACCGCCCTTGACCCCAGGGGGTCTCAGAGCGATTTACAGGCATACTACTATGTAGTTATTATCCTAACCTAGGGCCACAATTCGAGGGGGAGGGGCTGCCTACCGACACCCAAGCGGCGCGTTCTCTCTTTCTGTTGATATCCCAGGCGGGCTTCGGATGCTGCTTTTGGTGCCTCAGGCTGACCGGCGACTACCTCCGGCAGGCTCCTGGTGGACTCCTTCGATGCGCGACCGCTTCTGACTGCAGCTTTGGCTTCCGTCCCTCGGGCTCCTGCCACGCTGCATCATCTCGCTGTCGCATCGCCTCAACTCCGCCTCCATCCGGTTCGGCCGCCGCATCCCTGGGTCGCTGTTCCGCCGCCACTGCTGTTACCGTTGCTGCTGCCGCCGCCAGCACTCCTGGCACGCAGCCAGGAGGAGGGTGCCCCCTGCCACCTAGGGCAGGTACCGATTTCTCTACTTGCTTTTTGCTTTCGAGCCGCTGGGTGGGCGGGAGCTTGGACTAGGGCCGGGAGCTCACCCCGGCCACGATGGGTCTTGAACAGCCATAGTGGCTGTTCGCTAACGTCGTTACTGCAGGCGTTGTACTGCCTGCGCCACCGCTCCCTTTATTTAACAATGCAAAAGTATATATATATATATTTTTTTTATTATGCAAAAGTATATTTGACAATACAAACCATAACACCAACTATGAGGATGGAAAACATTAAAAGGCTGTCATTACAGTTGTCATTTTCCTTGTTGTAGCTGGACCAGGCCTCAGCCACCAAGGTACAAAAGGAGTCACCTTATGAACTAGAAACCCATCTTCTTCTCAGAGAAACAGAGGAACACAACAGAAGCTGTTGTTTCACTGCTTGAGACCCAAGGGACAATGGACTGAGTTCACTATGACATGGGGAAAATGGCTCCAGAAACTAGAGAGAAAACCAGAATGGGAAGAGGTGGTGTCTCAGAATATGGCTGCTATGTTCTATCTCACTCTAGCTGGACCATGCCCAAATCAGAAATTCCAGTGGGGTCAAGGTTAATCTGTTCCAGCAAAAACAAAAGGGGGTCTTATGGCACCTTAAAACCCAGAAGTTTTATTTAAAAGGATGCTTTCTTAAGGTAGGCTACAGTCCATCACGTGCACAGGGTAGTCTTAGTGGTTCTGGGGCCCTGGATAAAAGTCAAGGATGTGGCCCCAGAATCACTGCCACCCCCCACTGGGAACCCCCCCAAACATCCCTGCTGACCTGGGGCCAAGCAACGAGTACCCTTGCCCTGTGTGAGGTATGAGAACCATGGCCAGAATCTGGCTGTCTGAGCCTCAAATGGAATGGGCACAAGCAGCTGCTACTGCAACATCTGCCTGAGCCCAGGCTAGGCCAGGTGGGAGCAGTAGTGGCAAGAGTGTCCTCTTTTTTCTTTTCCACAGTCTATTGGGGGGATTTAGCTGGTTGCCCCCCAGCATGGGGCCGAGTTACCCTGTACATGCATGAAGTAATTTCTCTGATAACTAAGAATTTACTTTGACAAGTGGGGGACCCACAA